TATTTCTCGGCGTGGATGTAACGCACAGGAACGGTCTTCTGCACAACGCTAGATAAGTCTATACCATTAATTCGCGGGCCCCGCCAATGCACATAACCCAGCGTGTCGTGCTCTTGACTACAAGATACTTTTGGTTGGATGCAAGGTGTATTTTTGGGGGTAAAAAAAGTGTAGTGGAGCTCCGATATCTCTGGAACGCAGAGGATCATACCTTATTCCATCACACATGAGTTTGGTATAGGTGTTCTGAGCAACTTCAGAAAGAAAAACGAGATCAAACGTCCATGCCTACCGTTCGGGAGGCCAAAATAAGTCGTGGACTCGGTCTCCCACGCTACTGCTGCAGACCATCTCCCAGATGACACTTTTTTCGTTTTTGAAGCTTCCTCTCCGAATATTGTCACGAAACCGAGGAAGAACACTCGTATACTACCCTACAACATCACTGTAGCAAAAGTAGCGTGCTCAAACCTCATTTTCCTCTTTCCCTGGCCTCTTCTATAGAGCGCAAGAATGGGAGGGGTGTTATTCAACGTAATGGTGAGCTTCACATGGGGAGCGTTGAGATTTTGGCAACGGCACACCATAGAGAAGCACAGGAAGCGGAGGGTAGACGCAAACCATGTATGCATCAGTCGTGGTGCCTCGTTTCAGGCTGTATCCTGGTGTCATCGCACGATATCAAAGGTGACTCGGGCGTGAATGCATCAAAGAGCGGCGGGATTAACGAACGCAAGACAATCGAAAATACCAGTGTTGGATATTGGTCGGGCAGAAGGGTTCGATACAATACGCCAATCGTATGGAGAAAAAAACACAAATACCGATATTTTGTTCGATATCCCGAAAATGGCTCGATACGTATCGAGTATCGATACTCGATATCGATACGGCTGTTTTGAAGGCCTCAGGTTACAAGAAGAGCGAGCGTTACGCAACCCCACGTACCCTGGCACACCCGAACCCTTATCTGAAGTATACAGCAGTGCGCAAGAGCGCGCATGGTCCGGCGGCATGCAAGTAGTGGTGTTTGCCAGCATGGTCCGGCGGCATGCAAGTAGTGGTGTTTGCCAGGTGCCAGGTGTGTGCAGTTAGTTAGTTGAACATCACGGGCACAACAACAGCGGGCACACGTTGTGACGTGATGTTGCGCATACAAAAAAAAAAAAACTGCATCGTGCAAGAGGCAGGAGTTGGTTGTGTAGCTATGTCCACCAGATATATTTTACATTTTACAGTCAGTGTGCATGTGTGTATACACGTACACACTACAACACCGCCGTACGGTTGCGATCGAATCAGTGCAAGCTCGGCTGCGAGCAGGATTTCATGACAAAAAAACGCGAAAAAAATTCGAACACTTGGTTTTATATTAGGGAAATAGACACAAGTGGGTACACCCACCCCTTTCTCGGACAAAAGTGGGTACTCGAAAATCCAGCGCGCGCGCACTCCGTAGGCGACCCCCAAACGACTCATAACCCCATTCTGACACCTGGGCGACACAGCCAGGGACCATACACAGCACGGGCATTGATTTTTTCCCACTATTAGGCACATCTTTGGCCCTAATACCGCCGATGCGCGCAAGGCCTCACCAGAGTGCCCACTTGTGTCCAACATCGCGGTGGGTATACCCACCGGCGTCGACTAATTTTTTCATGTACCCACTTGTGTCTGTATTTTGACCCACTTGTGTCCAAAATGTACCCACTTTTGTCCTGCCACTTACGGACGGCGAAAATCGAACAGAAATCGACCTCCGCATCACCGCACGGCAGAACATCGAATAGCCTCGGAACGTCTCAGAACCTCCCAAAACCGTATCCATGGCATCTTTCCTATCCATGGCTGCCGACTGCGGACCGACCACGAAAGGAAGAACATGTCAGAAACATGCCAGACCCCTTCGGAACCGGCACGGGAAGATACCAGGCACGGGGAGATACCCGCGGCAAGCCTACTGCTGCCGTGACGAGTCGGTGTGCACTCGTCGTGGTGGTTGGTGTTTTTGTGTGTGTGTTGTTGCTGTTTGCGCGTGTTGTTGCTGTTTGCGCGTCTTTTTGTTCTGTATGCGCGACCCGTTGGTTGTGTTGTCCGTTGTGTGTTACGCATTCGTTTGTGGCGTGCCGTTAGTGCGCCACTTGCCGGGCTTGCCGCGGGTATCTCCCCGTGCCGGTTCCGAAGGGGTCTGGCATGTTTCTGGCATGTTCTTCCGTGGTCGGTCCGCAGTCGGCAGCCATGGATAGGAAAGATGCCATGGATACGGTTTTGGGAGGTTCTGAGACGTTCCGAGGCTATTCGATGTTCTGCCGTGCGGTGACGTGGAGGTCGATTTCCGCTCGATTTTCGCCCGTCCGTAAGTGGACAAAAGTGGGTACATTTTGGACAAAAGTGGGTCAAAATACAGACACAAGTGGGTACATGAAAAAATTAGTTGACGCCGGTGGGTATACCCACCGCGATGTTGGACACAAGTGGGCACTCTGGTGAGGCCTTGCGCGCATCGGCGGTATTAGGGCCAAAGATGTGCCTAAAAGTGGGGAAAAATCGATGCCCGTGCTGTGTATGGTCCCTGGCTGTGTCGCCCAGGTGTCAGAATGGGGTTATGAGTTCGTTTGGGGGTCGCCTATGGAGTGCGCGCGCGCTGGATTTTCGAGTACCCACTTTTGTCCGAGAAAGGGGTGGGTATACCCACTTTTTTTGTCTATTTCCCTTTCACAAACCACAGGCACACCTTTTCCCCTGCAGCGTGCTCGACCGCCAAGCTCCCAGTGTCCACGCCCACTGAGCCGCGTCAAAGCGCGATATCTCATCTAAATCAGCTGCCCACACACTACATCCTTCCCTCCTTCGTCTCTCCTCTCCCGGGTACAGCGGGGAGGAGCGGAGGTGAGGCCAACAAGAACGAGCGAAAGGCCTGAGCGCAGCAGGTCGTACGAAACCGATCAAACCCTCTCACCGCTCGTAGAAGCTTCATCCGCGAAATCATCAGCTCCTACTAGCAGAGGCCTCCACAGCCCTCTCCGACTGTCTCTGTTCTCGCCCTTGCCTTCCTTCCCCTCCAACCCGGCGTGGTTGTGTTTGGTTACGCGAAGGGGCAAAAGTTTGTGCCAAATTTGCCCCGACCCCTGGAACGGGGAATGATATTCGGGTCACCCTTGTGTGACACTTGTGTGACACTTTTGTGACACTTTTGTGACACTTTGTGACACTTTTTTGTGACACCCTGTACCCGCCGACTCTGCCGGCCACTTGCAGTTTTTTTCCAAGAAAAAAGGTGACTCCTGCGCAGACTCCTCCGCCGACTCTGCCAGCCTGCCTCCGCCGACTCTTCCGGCCACCTCAGTTTTTTTCAACCAAAAAAAGTGACTCCTCCTCCGACTCTGCCAGCCACTTCAGTTTTTTCCCACTAGATCCAGGCGAGTGTCTAGTGTTCGTTGCAACCATCAGGCACCGGGGGGGCAGTTATTGCGTTGACCTCGCTGTTGACCTCTCGATAGACACCCTACCCATTGTTCCTTCCCCTACTTCCGGGTGGGACCATTTTTGCTTGGCTCGAACCCGCGGTGGGAGCCACTGGCGAAGTCACTGGCGACCTCAAGTCGTTGGAGAGCGTAGTCGCACAAAAACACGTACCTTGACGAAAAACGACAGCATGTTTTGGCATGCTTTTGGGATGGGCCAAAAAAAATTTCCAGCCTCGGACGATTCCCGAAATTGAAATTTCAAATAGTTTTTTGTCTTGGCAAAATCAGATCCCGCGCGCGGACGTTTGAGTCAAATTTTCGCCCCCGAAAGAGCTGACAGCAGCGGGCTTTGCACGGACTGAATGTGGCTCAGAAAATCTGACGTGAGAAAAAGTCTCGACTTGATCAAGTCGAGACTTTTCAAAACCCGTGTTGTGTGCACGTGATTCATTCGTACGTATAGCTCTAGGCAAAACGATCCATATATCACGTGTCGCTTGACGGCTATTTTCTGAAAGATATTTCAAGTCGAGACTTTTCCGTAGAAGTGACAGAATTGCACCTGGTGAGAGGACCTGTTACCTGGGCAAATGCATCTTAAATGTCGGTATCAGGGCTAGCTTCGCTGTTTTATTTTTTCAAGTCGATACTTTTTTCGTGAATAGATCAGGATTGCACTTCGTTGTGTAGTAGGTTACCGGGGAATTCTGTTCCGCTCTTCTTGGGCTTTCGGGCTGCTTCGGTTCCCTATCAGCGACGTTTTCCGATTCATCAGAGAAGCCCCCTGAGTATTTTATGGCATGTTTTTGGTGTTTGTCTTTGGGGCTCCACCTACCCGTGCAATCCGGAGGCAAACTCGGCATCGAAGCCCCCTGAGTATTTTATGGTATTTTTTTGGTGTTTTGTCTTTGGGGCTCCACCTACCCGTGCAATCCGGAGGCAAACTCGGCATCGAAGCCCCCTGAATATTTTATGGCATTTTTTTGGTGCTTTCTCTTTGGGGCTCCACCTGCAACCCGGAGGCAAACTCGGCATCGAAGCCCCCTGAGTATTTTATGGCATATTTTTGGTGTTTTGTCTTTGGAGCTCCACCTACCCGTGCAATCCGGAGTCAAACTCGGCATCGAAGCCCCCTGAGTATTTTATGGCATTTTTTTGGTGTTTTCTCTTTGGAGCTCCACCTACCTGTGCAGTCCGGAGGCAAACTCGGCATCGAAGCCCCCTGAATATTCTATGGCATTTATTTGGTGTTTTGTCTTAAGGGGAACAGTAGGACCCGCGAAGTCACGGTAGGAGTCACGGTAGGAGTGACGGTAAGAGTCACGGTCGGGGTCACTTTTCTTCCGATAGGAGTCTTGGTCAGAGTCCCGGTAGGAGTCATTTTTCTTCCCGTGCCGAAAATGATAAATGATGGGCGATAGGAGTGACGGTAGGAGTGACGGTAGGAGTCCCGGTCGGAGTCCCGGTCGGACTCGTTTTCATGGTAGGCGGGGGAGTTATTTATATGGAAGGCGAATGGGTGTTGGTTTTGGTTCGGTGCATGTCTCTAGGTCGGCGCCTAGCCCAACTTCCGCAGCTTTTGCCTCTGTCTAGTTAAATCCACAAGCTTGTTGACCCTCACAACAGACAAAAAACGCTTCATCTATGGTTGAACCGTCACAATATCGGTTCAAAAGCTACCAGTCGGCTAAACACCCTCATCACCCGTGATCTAACCGACAAAAGCTCCCATTTTCTGAGTGATCAGCCCGTTGCCACCGTCTCAAGTCGGGCGTTTATCTGAGCGTGCTGAGCGTTAAGCTGGGCGTGCTGAGCGTTTAGCTGAGCGTTCACACTCTCTTCGAAATCTACGAGCTGCTTTTTGAGGAGGTAGAACGACTTGCTCCTGATCGCGAACATGACAAAACCTCCTCCTACTACAACGAGGGCAAAGAAAATATTCATCGCTGCCGCACCATCCCTCTCTCCCACGTGGTGCATGAGACGCATACACTGAGTAGAACACAAGCGTTATTTTGAACCCAAATTCTACGTCATGGCCTCGCCCATGATCCCAGCTCTCCCGTCGCCAAAAATGAGCTCCTGAGCTTCAGGTACCCATGTATGATGGATCCCATCTCTCGATTGCCAGCAACAGAAACCAGGTGCTGGCGCCTGTCGACCACGGGTGGATCTACCAGAGAGAGAGAGAAAGCGGGCGCAGGGGTGGTGATACCTTGTCAAGAAATACTGGTGGCTACTGTAGTGGGAGGAAGGCTCCAGCGGGAAAGCAACGGAAAAGAGAACCAACATTGACCATTCGGCGGGATCTCCGAGAGTCCATCGGCGTAGTATCAAGAATCCTTCTCTCCGTCCCAATCCGTGCGAACGCTCCACCGGTCCTGAGCACCTCAGCAACTGCAACAGGAGTGAGCTTTCCTGCTCTTGACTCTAAGCTAAACCGCAAGAAACGGATTTTGGTACGGCGGAGTACACTTGGTGGGTGGAGTGAGGTTGGAAGCCACGCTTGGCCTCCGCTGTCATTTTGTTTTCTCAAACAAACCGGTCCTTCCAACCGGGTAACCGAACCTGGACCGGTTCAACGAAAATTTCAGCATGTTTTTTTTGTGCCGATATGGCCATTTTTTCTCATCGCCAAAATTTTCGGAAAAAAATGTCACACAAAAAATATTGTCCAACCCGTGGTGGGAGTCACCAGCGAAGTCACTGTCTTGGAAAAAAAATGGTCCAACCCGGAAGAAAAATTATGGTCCAACCCGTGGTGGGAGTCACCAGCGAAGCCACTTGGAAAAAAAGTGATCCAAACTGTGGTGGGAGTCACCGGCGAAGTTACTTGTCTTGGAAAAAAAAGGTCCAACCCGTGGTGGGAGTCACCGGCGAAGTCAATTGTCGTGGGGGGAAAAAATGGTCCAACCCGTGCTGGGAGTCACCAGCGAAGTCACTTGTCTTGGGGAAAAAAATGGTATAACCCGTGGTGGGAGTCAACAGCGAAGTCAGTTGTCGTGGAAAGAAAAGGTGCAACCCGTGCTGGGAGTCACTAGCGAAGTCACTGTCTTGGAAAATAATGGTCGAACCCGTGGTGGGAGTCACCAGCGAAGTCACTTGTCTTGGGGAAAAAATGGTCCAACCCGTGGTGGGAGTCACCGGCGAAGTTACTTGTTTTGGAGAAAAAATGGTTCAACCCGTGGTGGGAGTCACCAGCGAAGTCACGGTCTCGGAAAAAAAATGGTCCAACCCGTGGTGGGAGTCACTAGCGAAGTCACTGTCTTGGAAAATAATGGTCCAACCCGTGGTGGAAGTCACCAGCGAAGCCATTGTCTTGGGGAAAAAAATTGTCCAACCCGTGGTGGGAGTCACCGGCGAAGTTACTTGTTTTGGAGAAAAAATGGTTCAACCCGTGGTGGGAGTCACCAGCGAAGTCACGGTCTCGGAAAAAAAATAGTCCAACCCGTGGTGGGAGTCACCAGCGAAGTCGCTGTCTTGGAAAAAAAAATGGTCCAACCCGTGGTGGGGGCCACCAGCGAAGTCAATCGTCTTGGAACAAAAAAAAGTGCAGCCCGTGGTGGGAGTCGCCGGCGAAGTCCCTGTCTCGGGAAAAAAAAATGGTCTAACCCGTGGTGGGAGTCACTAGCGAAGTCACTGTTAGCCCTGCGCCTGACCCTCTTTTTGGGCCAATTTTCTGTCCAGCGGATGTTCTTTCGAACAGCCCATTCTTTTGAAGTTTTTGTTTCGTGGCCAATCAATCCCCACATTTTTGGCGGCCACGTCAGTTCAACAGTTGAAAAGACTGCACAATCGGCTTTGGTGTGTCTTGTTTTTTTTTGAGTTGACGACGAAATGGGATTGCTGCAGCCGTCTCCGTTCCCACCCGGCTGTGGGGCCGCAAGGACATTGCGTAGAGAACAGAACAGTCACCGCTACTCATGCCACAAGAACGGTCGTAGTAGCTGCAGTAGCACCGGCGGTAGAGCCGTTGCGCGCTGGCACAAATTTCAGAGATGAGCGGATGAGCGGAAAAAAAATCACCAAATACACCAGATCAGCGAGAGCACGTGGGTCTGATTTTACAACATTACAGCAACTGAAGCCGCCGCCGCCCTTCCCGCCCTTCTAAGGGGTTGAAGAGACACTGCGACGAAAGAAGGAAAGCCGCTGCTACTCGTAGTGCAACAACGGCAGGAAGAGCTGCAGTGTAGCGTCGGTGGTGGAGTCAAGCAATGTCGCCCAAAAGTCAGTTGAACGACGCGTCACACACGCACACGGAAGAGGCAGCGATCTCACCCTACATCACTTCACACCCAAACGGGTATGCAACGACCACCCCCGTCACTGCCCGTCTATGGGGCTCAATAGACATTGCAAGGAAAGTAAGAAAACCGCTGCTACTCGTGGTGCAGGGACGGTGGCAACAGCTGCAGTAGCGCCGGTGGCAGTGCCGTTGCGCCAGTGCACACTTTGGAGATGATTAGCGGAAAAACAAACACCGACCAAAAAGAAGGGCAGGTGGACTGAATTTTACACCATGGTACAAAAAGGAGCTGAGGCCGCCGCTGCCCTACCCGCCCCTTCAAGGGGTTGAAGAGACACTGCGACGAAAGCAGGGAAACCACTGCCACTAATGGCGAAGCAACGGCAGGAAGAGCTGCAGTGCAGCGTCGGTGGTGGATCAAGCAATGTTGCCCAAAAGTCAGTTCATGAGCAAAAAAAAAACGCACGGAAAAATCAATCCCACACATCAATGTGAGCTTTTTCCAACGTCGCGCCTGCTTCGCCCCCGTTCCCAAATCCCAGACAGACCACCCCCTCGCACCCTCCCCCCTAGCATTGATCCTTCCAGAGCTCGCTTCCTAGATGATCGCCCTGCAGGCGGCAGTGGACCTCCGCGCCCTTGATCCGCCCGTCAACACATAATCGGCTGGTTGTGTGGTCACCACATTTTTTTTTTGCTTGACAGGCGGGGACTTTTTCTGGACTTTTGGACCCGTGCGTCAACCCCAAAACTACCCCATTTAAGGATTCGTACTGAGAGACGTCCGTAGCGCGGATTCTGGAGCGGTTTCTTGTATCACCTCCGTGAGAACGGTAGCTATGTTTTGGTCGGTGGCGATTTTCGCAAAAGGTCCACACCCTTGCGGCCGCTGTGAATTTGGCCGAAAAATACTTGATTTGCAAAGGGTTTGATGGGATAGAATCCGCCGATTGAAAAACTGACCGACAAAAACACGCATATGTCCTCTTCACAGGCGTGTACTAAACCGCAAGAGCCAGTTCGTTTGTGGCATCGAGTATTCCACGTTCTCCTCTCGCTGTCTAATATCAAGTCAAAACAAGGTTTGGCGTCGTCAACCGGACGAGCGGAAGAACTTTGTTTTGGCCAGAGAAAGCCGAATAGCCGTGCCACGCGCATACAACATTTTGGGGGGTCAGGCGCAGGGCTAACTGTCTCGGATAAAAATGGTCCAACCCGTGGTGGGAATCACTAGCGAAGTCATTTGTCTTGGAAAAAAATGGTCCAACCCGGAAGAAAAAAAAATGGTCAAACCGTGGTGGGAGTCAACAGGGAGGTCACTGCCTTGGAAAAAAAAATGGTCCAACCTGTGGTGGGAGTCAACAGCGAAGTCACTGTCTTGGATCCCCTGAGGCGACTCCCATAGTCTGAGTGATCAGCTCACGAAGAGCATTGTCTCGGCTCCCGGTGAGCTGAGCGTTGATCTGGGCGTGCTGGGCGTTCACACCGTAAAGCACCAGTAACGGGCATCCTCGTCCATGACCCCACCACTGTACGAGTTTGGTAACAATACGAAACTACGGGACACAAAAACCAGGCGATGGACGCAAAACATGTATGTATGAGTCGTGGTACCTCGCTTTGGCTTTGTGCTAGCGTGATGGTCTAGGGAGGGTCCAGCGAGGGAGCAACGGCAAAGAGCAACCCGACAGGGAAACCGGGAACCCTTACCTCGACCATTTCGGCGGGAAGGCGTGTACACTCGCTATCTCCGAGAGTCCATTGGCGTAGATGTCTAGACTCCTTTCCCCTGTCCCCACCCGTGCGAATGCTCCACAGATCCTGAGCCGCAAAGTGCAACCCAGTGCTGCACGACTGAAAAAAAAAAAAAGTAAGTGTGAGAAAAAAAGCTTCCAACGGGAAAGCAGCCCCCTGTGGAAACCCCTCTGATGAGGCGGCTCGCGGCGGAACAGACCTCCACACCCAGGACCGGCTCTAGAGGGCAAACCAGAAGCTAATCTGCCCAGACAACTCGAGAGATATGTTAACACGATGCAAGAGCACAGTAGGGTATGTTTAATACGCCCAGAAACACATGGTAGGGTGAGAAATTTGATCTTTAGCCAGAGCGTACCACACTGCAGCAGCTCCAAAATCAGCGAGGAAGCTTCACACGCGAACCGACCTCTACGCAAGGTTGGCGTCTTGCAGCCTACTTATGCTGCCGACATATACCTAGGTCTCACTGCCACCTAATGCAAAAGGTTTGAGGCGATTTAGTGTGGCAGGAGATAAGCATGGTGTGTTCAAAATTCAAATTTCAGGAGAGCCCACGCCTGGGGGTTCGAACGCACGCTCGTTCATGTTGCGCATGTACATCCACTGGATACACGATCCCCATCCAAAAGATACGATGGAAATGCCCGATACAACCACGCTAGGTCAGGGTCAGGCTATCATAACAATTTATAGAAAATCTGGGCTTCGATTGGGCAAGTACGTCTGTCTTGAAGTTAAAAATAGACTCGGTGCTTTGCCATGATGGTACGAGTCAAACATGACACATGACCCGGGGCTTGAGGCCTTCGCCGTATCGCCCCCATTTTTTTCATCACCGGCAACGACAAGTACCAGTTCCTCGCGGTAGATCATCTGACGGAGGTGTCGAGTTATTCGCGCAATGATATGAGGGTCGTATCCCAGCTATTCTCCGTCTCACTCGCGCTGACACTTTTGCGCGAATCGGCTTGGACGAGCGGCAGGAGGTGTCCAATCGTCTCTACAAGACGTTGACGAAAAGGGCCATTTCGAGCACGATAGAAAAGCTGGAACCGATTGCCCAGCTTCGTGAAGTCGCCATCTTCGACTTCGAATCGCATTTCATCGAGAAACCACACACAGAAAGAGACCGTTGCAGAGAGTTGGCGGTGAAGCGTGCGCCAGCAGTCAGGGCGGCGATGGACTGCTTGAGAGAGAGCCCGGCATTTAAAGGCGACGATGGCAAAGACAAGGTCGTGGCGTTGGACGGGAGAGTGTTTCCGCCGGTCAAGTGGCAAGAGATTATCGACGCGGCCGCCAAAGCTCGTGCGAAAATGCACGAGTGTGTCCTGTACTACGTCTTCAAGAAGAAAAAACTAAAGGGCGCGACCAAGAAGAAGGTTTTCTCCATCCCGGCTAGGAACAGCACCAACAAGGCCACGAAGAGTCAAGGGAGGTCGTCTGCACTGAAGGACTCCGTCGGCAATTCCTACGCTGGAGGCCAAGAGTGGAAGGCCCTCACGCTGAACATGTTTGATGCCGCCAGAGAAGGCGGGGGTGTGGTGACACAAGACCAGATGCTGGAAATGGTGGCGTCCATAGGAGCGGCCACGCCGTACAGCATGGCGAACGCGACGGGAGGTGAGGGAGAGAGCGTGCGCAATTTAAACGAGTAGATATGTATTGACTCTGTAGCGGGTTAGTCTGACTGTACAGACTAAGCGCTGAAGAGCGTTGCCATCTCGAGCTCTCGCTCCCAGCCGAAGTTTACCCATTCTCCACGCCCGTGTTTTGACTGTTATTACCGTAATGCATACCGCATCGCATTGTGTTCACCCCCAACCCACCACCACCACCACCATACACCCCTGTTGGAAATCTCTCCTTTTAACGTATCAGGAGCCAAGCACGCCAACAAGGCGGCAGGTCCAGGGAAATGGGTCAGAGAACATTGTGCCGATGGATTCGCAGACGACCCGTTTTACGAAGCCGACGCTCATGGCGTGGATCTCCCCGTGTCTATCCACCAAGGGGTGCACCCGGAATATCTCGAGAAGGGAACTGCGGGATTATCGACTACTTCAAGAAGCAGCTGTTGTCGAAGTGGCTGCAGTCGACGGAGCTACTCGTGGTGTGCTACGACCGACAGGAACTGGTGCCCGTGATCAAAGGACACGAACAGCTTGGGAGAAGCGAGAAACTTGGTGAGTGCTCTAGGACCTTCGACCCGAAGTCAACGGACCCGGTTCCTTCGTTACAGTATGGGTCATGGCTTCGAGCCGATGGCAAGGCGGCGCGGGACGGAATCGCCGCCCACCTCGCCACGCGCGTGCTAGCTGATGATGTCTGGACCGGCGACACCAAGCCGAATGGAATCGTCGCATTCTATGGCGTTGGAGGTGAGCCTGATCTGAGTGCTGATCATCCACCTGGTGTAGATGCCGAGGGCATAGGTCTCGAGATGGCAAGGGAAGGTGCCGGGGAGGCGCTTCCCGAAACTGAACCACTCCTTCACTTTCGAGACAGAACCGACACGATCGAGGGCGTCGAGCGACAGCGTGGGCCATACATCGGCGAGGCTGAGCTCTCCGTGATACACTTCATCGCTTGGGCGAAGAAGTACTGGGGGAAAAGCTTCGACAAGTGGGTCGTTTCATCGGTAGACACGGACCTATGGATGATCATTCTACTGGCGATGACAACTGGTTGGCTCACGCCCCGTGGCGAGAGGGCAGTTGATGTGACAGTTCTGAGGGTCGTGGGTGGCGAGACCAAGTTCCTGTGGATGAACGGAGTGTTCGCCAGCATCTGCGAACTCCAGGACAGAAGCGAGTCCGCGTGGCCGCCATTGACCTTCGGGAACTGGATCCCCACGGACAACGACAAGGTCCGTCTGTTCGCCCTAACCTTCCTGGAGTCGGGCTGTGACTGCCTCCCGGCAATTTCCGGGCTGCCGTTCGACAAGATGTGGGTACTCGTCCTTAAGAGCGTACGGACGGAAGGTTTGTTTGATAAGCCGTTGTTCTTCGAAGAGCAGGACGGCACGTGGGCCGTGGATGTCGACGAATGCGTGAAGCTTTTGGCGACCTTGTTCTTCTACTAGGATGAAGCGGCGTTTGGCACTGCTCATTTAACTCCAGCCCAGGTCACCTGCGAGCAACGACGTTTCCTCTGGCGAGGCCGCGGAATCGAAGAACGCAGAACTGGAGGACCCCGAGTCGGACGAGAACGGCGACGGTTCGGTCGGTGCGCTCGACGATTTGATCAAGTTGGTTTCGGGCGAATCTGGGTCCAGCGATGGGGGATCTGACAGGTTGAGTGGGAAGAGCGACGACCCGGGTTGGAGTGACGGGGACACAGATGATGGTGTTGCGGATCTCGTCACCGACGCCTGGAACTGAGATCTGACTACTTCTTCAGGCAGGTGCATGTAACGTTCCTTGAGAGACCTGGCTTGGGATTGGGGGTGTCGTGCCGGGCATTCTTGCACGTCAGATCTCCACCATCGTAGGGAAAGATCGCTGTGGTATGATTCATTGTAACTCCATATTTCAATGCCACATTTTGCGCGTCTTTGTTGGTGGTTAAACAGGCCCGTGCTTCACTTCCGTTGGATGCAGCCATCCGTCAAATACGACGACCCTGGGATGCAAAATGTCAGGCGGATGAACAGAAGCCTAACGCTGACCAGTCGGCTAGAGCGAGCGTTTTCTCCCCTGTGTTCTCCTACCCAGTTGCGCAGGGAGGTGGACGGGGGGGATTATTTTTCCTTCGGCCGCGCTGGGTGTCCGTTGTTTATTGGCATGGTATTTTGTGGGTCACAAACTGCCTGAAAGGTACGGGGATGCTGTGTGCGTTCCGGGCTTGCTTGTGTCGTTTTTACTGACTGTAAATAAGATGTTTGTTGCTAGGTTTGGACAATCCGGGGGGGGCGGTCTTGTGTGCGGTGTTCGTGTGTAAGTATTTCATCGCGTTTTCGACACACCCAATGCTCAGTGCGTACAATGTATGTATGTACATGTATTCGCATGTATGCTTATGCTTTGAGAAAAAATACTTCAACCATTAATAATGTGTACATATTGCCGGCCGTGCCGTCTGCGTGCGACATCAGATAGCACAACGTTATCAGCGACCAAGTTCCTTGGCCGTGTTACTGTCGCTACTCCATCCTCTCATTTTTTTTTTCCCGGAATTCCAGAGAGTTGTGCTGCTGGGTGAGGGCCCCGAGTCAACAGGCACAAGTGTGTGCGGTGCAACACAGCATTTTCAGTTCAAATCTAGCTGACGCCATTCAAGAGTACTCCACCTGTAGTACGTCTTGCAGCATAATTCCAAGTGCTGTACAACCACAACATCAGCAGCTAACCTTACCAGGGCTCGGTATTGCCGGCGGCATGGCCTAAGATAAGCATGGTCCCTGTATGTGAATGCAAGTTTTCGACTTCATCCGTGTCTACCTCTCTATTCCCGTCATCAATCAAGTTCAACCTTTCTGAAATATACTCTGTGGTTCTCAGTCCATCTTCCCTCAAAGTTTGGTGGCGATTGATGCTGTAGCGGGCGCGTTCTTGTGCTTGGTCGATTTGGCGGGTGCACAGCAGTGTGGTTGCGCCGCGTAGATACGAGTCTCACATTTTTTTAGAAGAGGGGCTGCGTATTGCGCCGACAAGTTTGAAGCCTACAGTTGACGGAATTTCCCAAATCTTGGTTCCCTATATAGCTACTGGAATAGTCTACTGCTGTCAACCTTTAGCCTTGGATGGATGTACGCCGGTCGCGCAGTTCTTCTGCGTAAAACGATAATTTTTGTTCCTCCGCCTACTTTTTTTTTTTTTCAGTCGTGCAGCACTGAACCTGGGTGAGCTGAACATGTGGATGTGCGGAGGAATTACATAGGTTCTACAGTCTGCGGTGCCTCCTTTTTTTCGTCTTATGGCGAAAGCAAGCACAGCAGAACAGCAGGGTAGAGAGGGCAGCAAGACAGGGAGGTGAGTAAGCTATGACGTGCCTCGCTTGTTTTTGTTCATGGTGGTGATGGTGGCAGTCCAGTAGCCGGTAACTTATTCGATGCTCGTCTAGCCGAGTTGGCGGCGTGTCCCCGAGTGTCAACGCAGTCGTCACTCTTTTCTAATGTTCGTCCGGGCGGCACCTGTTCTTTGTCTCGTGCACGACACACAGGGGCAGCCAGCAGCAGTCGCGACGGCGTACAGGCGTAACCACGGTACAGAGGGAAGCTACACAAAGAGAGAGGCGGCCAGTGGGAACGAATCATAGGATCTAGCTTCGCCCCGTGTACAACCGCGCTTCCTCAAACTACAAAGGTGCGTCTTTTTCGCAGCTTCTGGCGCGGGCGATTTTTCGCAGACACATGCAGAGAGTAGCAGTGTACGAGAGGACACGCACGCGGCAACTTCTGTGAAGGTCGGTGCCCAGAGTAAGGGGTACCCGTCAAGTCGGTCGACAGCAGTAGCGTAGGCGCATAGGCGCAACCACCGCATAGAGCGGAGGAACGCCAAGAGAGAGGTGGCGCCAGTGGGAACGGATATATGGGATCCAGCTTCGCCCCGCGTACAACTCTTCCAAAATTCAGAGGTGCGTCTTTTCGCAGCTTCTCTGACGCGGGTGCGCGTTCGCAGACACGTGCAGAGATTAGCAGTGTACCTGATGACACACACGCTGTAACCCTGGTGAAGGTCGGCGCTTAGGGTAAGGGTTACCTGGCAAGCCGGCGTGTTTGTCCGATTTTGTTCCCTGTTCTCCGTTGTTATTTTGTGAGCGTCTGTAAAACATACCGTGATCTAGATGCCCGAAATAGGGGAGGCGACCACGCCGCAGACCGTTGTGGCATCGTTCGTGCGCCACGGCAAAATGCATAGCTTGTGAACATCCTAGTGTACACTCAGGTTGGAATCATCCCTCAGCCGCGAAAGGCGGCAGAAAACAATTGTGCACACGCAACCCTCGGCCGCGAAAGACGGCTGGCAGAAACCTCATACTCAACTAGACTTCAATTTTTTTAGCTCCTGCCACAGCATTTTTGCATTTGTCCCGCAAACTTCGGTCTCTGAATCCACACAAGTGCCCCCCGTCAATGGCTCCGACCGATCGTGACATACCCGCTTGTCCTGTATCGGTCGACCGATGAACCTAATTGGAAGAACAAGACCAACCGACACATAGATAGATGCCGCTCTCTCGGGCTGGTAAGGTGTCACAGTCAACGACAAGGGCCGCGTGGTGAAACTAAATCTGTGGACCAACAACCTCCGAGATATTTACGGCCTTCCCTGTGGACGTTGCGTGTTGCTCCCCTGCGATGCGTTCGACCTTTCCCAAGAACTCGGTGACCGAAAGTGATCCTTTCATGAAATTGCAAGTTTTGCAGGATGCGACAACGTTGTCTTTTTGGTACGTCCCTGCGTTATGCACGCGGTCTACGCCTGAGTACCCTTTGTATGTAAAATCGCCGCAATACCAGCACGCGCTACGCACGATGCTACTGTACTCGTCAAAGCTAATCGACACATTAATATTCCGCCTTTTAGCCTGCTCCTTGAACACGCGCCACCGGTAAGCCACGTCAGTTTTCCTGGCTTCCAAGTGCCTTTTGTACGCAGCGGACCTTCGGTATCGTTTGTTTTGAAGGGCTCGGGTGCGTCTCTTGTCGTACATTGGATGCTTTTGTGTTTGATCTGGCGTTAACGGTGTCATCGAAAAGGTAGCACAGGTGTCCTGGCGTTTCGATTGTTTTGATGGTGCAGTATGGGATGCCGTATTATTTTTTGAGTGACCGCCCTGGACACACAGGCACCCGATTTCTGGTATTCATATCCCAAAACATTTTAACTCGTCTCTATCAAAAGTCCATACTTTCACGGCATGGATGCGGCACTTCCGGAGATGAGCAGGCGATCCACTTCAGAACCGTGGATGGGACACATATTCTAGACCAATTAGTCCTTTGAATAGGACAGTTTTTGGGCACACCCATCGTAGGTGCGATGAAAATTCCCTCAACGCTTGTTTTTCCCCGTGAATTCGATCGATACTGCGTGTGAAAACAAAAGACGTCGGCCACAACACAACCCTACAGCAGCAGGAGCAACCGCGGGCAGTGCACACCCTTCCACCTATCGTCTTCAGCGTATCCTGCGGTCTTGCGGTCCTACCTCTCATTTGTACAATTACTGTTTTACAGCAGGAGCGTGGAGCCCGAGGGGGAACTTCTTCGGGACGACAAAAAGCCAAGCAGCCTGTCCCTTTCCTCTCCGACCCTTGCCCTTGTCTTACTCCCCTTTCGCGTCTCTCGGTCTCTCTTGTCTGCTTGATTTGTTGTTGCTTGCTGCGGATCTCCACCTGAAGTAACCAACGGCAGAAGAGAGCAACATGGGTGACTCTGCTCTTTTATTGCTTCATCCGAGCACGCGAAACGAATCTCTCATCCACCGCAGCCCCCTAATTCAACTACCCATTGGCAGGCAATCAACGCGAGAAGTCAGTGTGCGCTTGTGTTCAAGAACGACGGGTCACAGCGCCACTGTGCATCTATCGGTCCTGTACCTGCGTGCCGAGCGCGCCCACAGGTGAGCGCTTGCGGAGAGATTGTCTGACCAACGTGTGCCAAAACTTCCCCGCGCTCTTTCCAAAAGCCTGTGTCGGACGTCTCGCATTTGTCGTTGCACGTGGTGCACTGCCGACCAACTCGCGAGACAGGCATGCTGCTTCCCGAGAGATGTCCTGCGCGTGGCCAAACAGGCTTGCTTATTTTTATTTTCCGCTAAAGTTTGGCGTTCTACCTTCGCGCAACCCTGTATTTCTTGGCACCGACTTCCATTTTGCCGCTGGGGATGTGGTGTGAAGCAGTTCTACTCTTTGCAGCCTACCTTCTGCTGTGCTGAGTTGGCGACGAATGTTGTGTAGTGGCATCGTTGGAGCTTGATGATCTGTGCCGTAAGCGCCGTGGTGACTCTTGATGTTGTACACCGCTGGGTTGAAGTAGTTTTGTGTTTGTTGGTCGTCTCCGCTTCGGTCTGTGCAGTCCGTCACTCTTTTCTCATATCGTCCGCGTGTGAACTCCCCGTTCTGTGTCCCGTAAACGAACGACAGAGGCTGCCAATAGGAGGAGCCAGGGTGCGCATTGTACCCAAGGACGACAGTGTCAAGCATCACCGCGCGCCCATCGTGCCTGGGAATCGAGCGCCCGATTAGGTGAGAGTCCGGAGACCGCGGAACGTTCTTGTACGGAACTTTCGGTGCGGTCTTTGTGCCCCAGTCCAGGAGATCAACGCTCGACGGTAACTAGTTTGATGCTCGTCTACTCTTCAGGCGTTCGGTGCGTCTGATGTGCTCACTTCACGGCTAATTGGCCTCGTATAGCCCCTACTCCGCTCGAATGTTGTGGTGGGGGAAAGGCTCAGGGGTGCCTCGTTGTCGTGATAGACCGCTTCTCCCACCGGGTAGTGTGCTTTGTTGCACTCCGCCGCGCGGAAGACTTGCTTTCGCAACGCCTTCACGCCACCAGAATTCTTCACTCGGGCTCGGACAATAAACAATGAACTCCTTTGCTCCAACCGGGCCAAGCGTTCCTCGTACTCGTCGTCCTCCCTGCCCGACGATTACCTCCGAATTCGCTTCAGAATTAGGGGACCCAAGACCACAAAAAGGCCAAGAAGGACAAGAAGCCGAAGCATTAAAACCAAGTGAACAAGTAGGGTTGGAATGGAGTCGAAAAATGGGGGAATCTCGTGTATCATCAAATATTTGTCTGGGGGTCAAAAATATAGTTGAATGTGATTTTTAAGAATATCCTGCCGACCGAATGTCTAGTGAAAAAAACATACAAAATAAGGTCCGTCTAGCGATTTTTGCTCGGAGTTATTCATGCGGCGGAAGCGTTCCTTCAACAAGCAGTTTGAGTTTTGGTCTCACTTATGCCACTCCCCACACTCCCCACACACACCTCTCATGGGGTCTTTTGGAGCGTGGTGTGGGCGCTAATTACTGTCAAACATGCTTTCCGTTCCTTTAAGTTGTTCCTGAGCACTGGTACTCTCCCGCTACATCGGTGGGGATTCTGATAAGCTCCGTGTGCTCCACCATCGTCAAGGAGGAAAAGAGGTTGCCGTGGAGGATTTCGCTGCCTGCTCCCCTGGTGGTGTTTGTCGTTTTCGTGTTGTTTGTCGACTGGTCACACGAAGTAGAAAAGGAATGCAAAGACCTTGACATGGTGGCGTACGCGAGATACCTCGACATGCACTTCAGGTTCTGGGTCTTGCTCTTGGTCAAAGCTACCGATATCTCGCAAGTACTCCTTCCGATGCTCCTTCTCGTTCGGCCGTTTTACTGCATATTCTTTGTCCGAGGGTTAGCACTTGCCAGTTATACACCGGGATACACCGGGCGCCCGTTCAAGACAAGGAAGACAAGAGAAAATGCATCCCATTTACGTTGAAAGTTTTACGTTTGATTTTTTTTCTGGGATTCTTGAAACGCGACACATGATTACTCGTAGACATGTCGAACTAATGGAATCCTCTTGGTGCAGCATCGACAACAAAGATGTCGATTTTGGACCATCCATAGTGAGCAGGATTGGGCGACTTTTGACGATCCACATATTTCACAACTTGATACAATGGACGACCTCAACCGAAGACTCGAAACTGCAAACATTAAAGTGACACGTCTGCTAGGGGAACATGATAATCCGGACCACCGGGACCCGTTTCATGACCTCCCCAGCGCGGATCGTGAGGTCTTCGCAAAGACTATCATCCAGCTAGGCATCGAGAAAAAAAAACTGGATCTCCAAAAACAACAACTAGCTCTCATGATTCGTCGCTACAAGGCCTTGGCTGACCTCGGCGTCGAGCTCGACGTCGGCGCTCAAGCAAGCTTGTGTCAGTACGTGTCTGGTCTCACTCGGCGAGACATGCGCAAGGAGTATGAGCATGGTAACTCTGCAAAAAGTATCAAGCAGGATCACGCGAAAGGAGCCGCCGGGCCAAGATGGTGTCTTTATTCCCCGCTCATTTGCCGCGTCAATTTGCCGCCTTGTCGATCGAGGGACGCATGCTGTATTTGGTGGCGTTGGCCAGTCCTATTTTCACGCGCTCACCACCACGGCAAAAAGCTTGAGGAATAGATTACCGCAGATGTCTTGCTTTTTGTCGTAGGTTCGTTACCATCATGTTCGGGTGATTTGCTGATTTGCTTGCCTGGGTAGGGATCACCCTTTTTTTCGTTTCGCATCAAGAAACAAATGTAGTCCTTCCATGTATTCAACCCTAAGGTTTCGTTCAATGAGCTCTACGGCAAGTGTAGTCCCTAAAGGTTTTCGCTTGAGTTCGAGCAAGTGTTGATTTTCAACTCGAGGAAGTCTTGCATGAATCCTTGCCTTCAGCTCGAGGATTCAACCCTAAGGTTTTCGCTCGAGGAAGTCGCGAATGAATCCTTGCCTCATTGTTGGTTACCGACATTAACTTTTGCGTCACCGCGATATCAGAAGCTACTGCGATGGCGGAGGCTACCGCGACGGAGCTTGCCGTTTCGTCTGGTCTTATCCCAGGCACATTTCAACTGGCGAAGTCTGGGAGGTCGATGATCACCAAATGGTTTGATCGGGCGCGGGGTCTGGCGCTCTTGAAGAAGCTTCCGAAGGGCCCTCTCGAAGCGTTTGTTTTCGGGGAGGACGACGTGACACCTCAGCTTCTGGCCGCTCTCTCTCTTGGCGGCTCGCCAGGAGCCCGGCTGAGCATGATAGCCCTAGGGTTGTTCGTTAATCTAAGCCGTCGAGACAGGTTTCTCCTTAGGGACGCTAAAACCAAGCGATTCCTCCAGCATTCGCTTGGTTGTCCACCCGAGGAAGAGAATCGACCTAGGTTCTGTTGGCCAATGTTGCCTTCACTAATGGACGGTGAACTTCACGAAATTTCGTGGCTATGCGAACAACACACTTCGAGGCTTTTGCGGGTACACGTGTCAACGCCTCCGCTGTCTGATGTGAGATTAGACGAAGACCTACAAGAAGTGATAGGTTTCGCACGAAACGAAACAGTTGTTGGCGGGCTAGTACTGCGACATAACTCGCAGACCTACCTTTTCTGTGAGAACCTTCGTGGTGAGTTGAAGGTTTCGGGTATTGATGTACCCAGCGATCTCGGCAGCATGTCCAGTCCAGACATGTTTATGGTATCCTCCAGAGTCCTTGAGGACTACTCTGCCTTTGAGACGTTGTGCAATATGTTAGAGGGTTATTCTGTAACATTTATGATGGCGGTACAGAAGGTGGCAAAGGAGTTGGGGGAAGAATTCGCTGCGCAAAGTTCCCGTGATGGGATCTCGTTGCTCTCTAGGCAGTATCTGCGGGATGTTCACAACGACCCGACGCGACGCTCTCCATTGCTCCGGATGCCCACGCATGAAGAGCTCGCCACCAGGATCCGGGAGGCAAGGGTTAACTTACCGCTCCGTGACCGAGACGTCGAGTTGGTGCTCGTCAATGACATGCAGAAAGTAGTTTCCGATTTTGTGGACATCATCGAGAGCGAAGCCGCTAGACCTGGTCATGTTGGTGTCAGGTCCTACAAGCGGAAAGAACTTAATCTGATCAGGAGCTGCATCACGCAGGCTTCAGGGATGGAGCCAACTTTTGCCATCTTTGAAGGCTTTCGGAAGCACAACTTGAATATCGCAATTGCACCGGGCTGCACGACATCGTATTTCCCAGGGTTGGGTCTCACGGTAGCTTTTCCTGAAGGATTTGAAGTGCGAAGCCGGAAGGTAGCGATGAGGACAGCTTGCCCATTTACTACAGATTTACAGGAGTCCTTTTCTATCCTGTTGGCCTTGGCGCCGAAGGTAGCCGAGAGTTTTTCCCTTTTGGAATTTGCGAAGACTCTTAGCTCGGATTTGTCGAAGGATCCTGCCTTGGCTTTAAGCCCGGTATCCGAAGCAGTTGTGCGTGCACTAAGTCCACGAGGGAGACCATGTAGTGCATTGTACTTGACCAATGTTTTAGGCTACCTGAAGAAGCACAATCCAAAAAGCACTTGGTCGGAAGCCTCCATCGCAGGTATTCTGTGCCAACTAGGGATGACCTTATCTCTTCCCCCGCGCAGCGAAGGCTTAGAATTCCACGATTTTCGATGCTTCTTCCAAGTATGCCGTGAGGTCTGGCCATCTACGTGCTTTGGGGCAGAACTTGTTGTTGATTGCAGTGTCGATATTTCAGCGTGTGCGATGTGGTTCACGAACGAGAAAATACTTCTTGTCCCAGTTGATCCCCCCTTGTATACGGTTGGCTACGAGTTGACTCAGAAAGTTGGACGTATGAGGTGGACGGGCCTTCTTGATCTTTTTGCTCGTATTGTTGGGTCGACCGAGCTAGAAGAGATGCGAGAATTGGTTTGTTTTCTACACCGCACCTCGATTGTTTCGCGTGACAGTGGTAGCATGGCAAATGAAAACTTCCCCGTTCCGGTCCGCGTTGTTGGTTTTAGTATTAGTAATCCCCCCCCTTTAGACGGAGCTAGCTCAAGCGAACGGGACCAGGGGTAAATCCGCTGGTGATGAGACGAAGTCATGTGACGAAGTCGTGAAGGAATAATACCTTTTTCAAATCTAACGAAAATCTAGATGAAATCAATTTCATCGAATCCCTCGAGAAGTGCAACCTCTCAAGCGTGCTCTGCCTGCTCTGCCTGCTCTGCCTAAGGGGTACATTTCAAATGGTGTTGCATGTACATGTCATCCACAAGGAATTCCGAAGACCCAACCTCTACGACACGTTATTCGAGAGGTACTTCTCAAATATTTTTTCGAAAACTCGGCAAGTGGTATCGCATCTACAACGGGTGATGGGAGTATCATAGGATGACATGTGAAGCATGGGTCACACAACGTACTCTCAATGGACGACATGTGCAACATGTGTCGCAAAGGTATTATTCGTATTGTACGACATGTGCAAAACTTTGTTCCACTATATTCGATGAGCCGGGGGCAGCTTCCGCGCGCGGGGGGTAGAGCTTGAAGCTTTCTACGCGGCGACAAACAAGCCACGCAGCCGGTATGCTTCTTTGTGTGTAGTAGAAAGTTGAAAGCGAAGGGGCATGGTTTAGTAGTACAGGGGTTAGCTGCTGCGGTGACGTTTTTTCGCGCGCCCTTTTGTGTGATCACGCATTTTTCACCGCATTTCGCCAAGGCTCCGGCTCCGGTGGAACTCGTATGCACTAGACTCGTATCAGCTCGTACACACTGCTATAACACTTGTGAGGAGCAGCACACGCGGGAGTAGGGCAGGGGCACTCGCTGTTTTTGAGGTCTGTGTACTCTAGTCTACCACTTTTTACACACACACGCACATTTTTACATTTCTTCCGCCGCCTCCTGTCCCCGCCTCAAAACAACCCTCATCAAGCCCCCTGTTTTCGGTACGATCGAAACATCCCCATCATGCTTGTTTGCCCCCGTGCATGCGAAACAAGAGATCACCGTTCCCCCGAAACAGGGAGGCTATTTGGGCTGCACGTTGTGTCAGTTCGCCCCCCCTGGAGAGTGTACCCATTTTGTGTCCAAAACACCCACGGTAGGTACGATGAGAACACCCCAACCGTGCTGTTTTGCCCCCTGGAACCAAACGATACTGCTCCTGAAACGAAGGATCGCGATCATGATGAACCCGCCTCCTGTCAGAGCATATGACGCCGCACCATCTCGCTGTTGGACATGACGTATCTCTCCCTCCGCCTCCCACTGTCTCTCCGTCTGCGCCGCCACTTACTTGTCACAACAAATGCTCCACCCCTGCCCAAGCTCTGCAACCAACGGCAGCAACCCCTAACCTGACTCCTACGCCGGGTTCACCGTTGACTCCTTCACTGACTCCGACCCCGGGGTTCAATCATTTTGAAAATGGCCGCCGGCCAGAGGAATAGCCTCCCCGTTTGAAGTGGTTTTCACCTTCAGTGGATGCAGTGGGGGCAGGGGGTGGGCCCCGACAAGTATGTGTGTGCTTCGTTGCCTACACATACGTCGGGCGGGTTCTACATACGTCGGACGCCGGGGTACAGAGCCAAGTCGGACGTTGTGTAGCTGATGGTGTTGATATCTATCCACGGTGCAGCAGCTACACCATCAGCGGAGACTCATTACATGAGGAGAAACGGTGGCTATAGTGTCTTGACAACACGCAGACTACGGCTGGTAAGTCGCGCAGTGGAAACTTGCATGATGGTGGACGGACCTGAGATCATGCTACTGCTGTGGAGCAGCAAAACAAACGGAGATTGCGGAGATTTGCATTCCTCGCACGACCCCCCCTTTGTACATTTTACATTGTACGATATATCTACAATCGGGGCCTCTTTGCTTCATGCAGAGCTTGTTCCATGCCGCCCATCGGGTCGCTAGCTACGAGATCGGCCCTTACCTTCTTACATCATCGTCAAGGAACAGCGTGTCAACAGGCCACCACAGCTAGAGCAGCACCCCGGCCTTCGCTTGTCTTGTCTTTGGGCAGAGGATGACTGGCATGCAAACACAGCAATGGTGAGGGAGGAAAAGATGCGGCGGAATTAATTTATGAACTTTTTTCAATTTGCCGTTGTCCCTGCGTCTCGCTGGCTCTACAAATTTTGTAGCAGCTCACGTCCGAGTCCTTGGTGTGTTATCTCCTTTCTATGAGCGCGGATGGATATGCAACACATACCTCCAAGGGAGGCTGACCTACTGTACATGCCTTGTCTCTGGTTGCGCCTCGATTTGGCACAGCAGAGCAGCAGCAGTTGCGGAAAGTCCGAGGATGCTGTGAGAAGACCACAAACAACTTTCGAAAAACACGGCAATCAGCTCCGGATCTACAGCTGTATCTGGGCTCCTCTGTAATCTTCCTCTTTTATGCATACGATAGCGCATCTTTTGCTCACGAATCTGCCTTCCCCTGTTGTACCGTCTGTCGTCAGCTGATAGTGGCTACGGACCTGCAGACACTAGGCGTAATCTGCTGTTAGCTTAAGCTGGTAGCCACTTTGCTCCATGGGCAGGGTGGGCTACTTCGACCTTGGCAGGGTGATAACAAAAAATGGCGGACGAGACACATGGTTACCATGTGACAATCTTGCTCCGTGTGCAGGGTGGGCTACTCCGACCTTGGCAGGGTGGTGACAAAAAATGGCGGACGAGACACATGGTTACCATGTGACAATCTTGCTCCATGTGCAGGGTGGGCTACTCCGACCTTGGCAGGGTGGTGACATAGAATGGCGGACGAAATTTATGGTCCCGCCCTGGCAAAAACAGTAAGGGTATACCCTATTACCCTCGTCGCATGGTCACAACCCTCGGGACAGACCCGAGAGGTTCCTCAAGGGGGCACCGTGCCAGGGGGGGGGCTGGCAATGATAACTTCTGCGCAGGGTTAAGCCGAGGCTTCACTGAGCATTTAGCTACATGAACATTCAGTTTCTCGATTTGTTTCGTATTCGGGGTTTGTTCATTCATCATGTTTCTCCTCGTGACAATCCTAAAGTTCGGGCAAGCAGCCCCACAAAGCTGTAGCCCGGACTCCGGCTCGGTACATGTTGACTCTCACAATACATGAAGAAACCCACCCGGCGGGGGCTTCTGTGCGACAAAAGAGGACGAGAAATTACATCGCCATCAACAACACTGGACAAGATCATTTCGCGCGACGCATTCAGCCAGACTGCTGTCGTTTCTTGAAGGCGAACTAGAGAATCACTTGGTACCCCCCCACAAAAACACGCTCTACGCGGACTGGGTCCCAATTCCAAGAGGTCGGCTGTAGTGCTCAACTACAACCTGCCACACAGGCTGTGAGTTCTCTCCACACCAACTACACCCGTGCCAACGCACGCATTTCTCTGACCTGCACAAGACTTGCTTGAGAAAAAAAACGAAAAAAAATACGCACGCGCGACAGACCAAAATAGAAAGTCTCTCTCAGCCCGCTAACAGCTTAGCGAGAGACCCAGCCATGAAAACCTATATCCCAACAACAACGAATCCTATGCGAGGATCATTTTGTGCCCAAAGATACGATGCAACCCCGTGAACACATGATCTGATGAGGTCAGCGCAAAACACGCAATCAAGAGGAGGAGCCGTCCGCCCCCCAAGCGTGTGAGCCAAAACACTGCCACAGGTTGTGACGAGAACAGAGGGAAAAAAAACTTTCCCACATGAGCTACACATGCTACAAAGCAACCGGCGATTATGAGCTCCCCATCCACACCGCAACCTGCCCCCCGTTATCACTCGGATAAGCGAACAACCTCGTGGTGCACACCATGAGTGCAGGATACCCACAGAGTATACGCGACAAGCCGAATACTACCCACACAACGAAAGACGGATCCTCACGCATTTCAGCAGAAAACGCCGACGCGACAACAAGCCAATATAGCATGCTCTACGAAGGACTAGTGGACCTCCGGAGCCCCCCTCTGCGTATGTGAAAGGGCGACACAACAAGTCCAAACTTAACTTTGCGAGCAGCTCGTGCCCCGCTAAGAACCTAAGACGCTAAGACGCGAGGTATAGGACATCTTGGGACGAATCATGCCAAGAGCACACCAACACAACTTATTCTAACGCATCATACGTGTCGCGAATCTCCATATGCAGGACCGTGTGTAGAGGGCAGACAGAAATCTTGAGAAAAAACAAACAAGTGCGAGGTTCGTCGTCCTAAAAGGCGTGGGAGGCAGGTCCATCCCCACCAAAAGCCGAAGGCGAGGACGGCGTGGGAGAACCTGAGCTCAGTTCATGTCGGCAAGGAAGTCCTCGAGCTCCTCGCCATCCAGCTCGATGCTGTCGCCCCGGGGGAGGGTCTCTGCGACCACGAGGCGACCCTCCGTGTCGGACGATGCTCCGGCAGAGCCCTCTGCAGAGAAATTTACAAGACCGAGAGGAAAGTCGGATGGGACCATTTTGATGGGGCAGGAATACTTGTGGTGTGTGAGGCATCGCACGCACAGTGTTCACGAACCTGTACATATCTTTAGCGAGGTATGGCGAGTGGAGGAAATCGTGCATTAACTTTCTGCGTGTTTTGTGTTCCATCTTTTTTCCGTATCGATATTGGCCTAACTTAGCAAGTGGAAGGGACAGACGCCCGCAACGCGCGCTATCAACCATCGACGTCGATGGGAATGTTGTTGAGAGCTGTGAGCAACTAACGTTTTGTTGCATCTGAGGTGACGGCGTACGGGCACAGGAACTTGACGATCTTGGGGTTGTCGTAATCCCAGTGGGAGAGCGTCCGGAGGGCGTGCCCGTGGCGGCGGGGTCCCGTGATATAATGGAACAGCTGGCGCCACACGCTGGCAAAGTAAAACATAAGTACACGGGTCGTCGGATAGGGCGACAGGCGAGACGCTGGCGAGGAACGTCTGAGAGCCACAAAGAAGTGTGAACACTTAGATAGGACAATGCCCTGGGCTTGGTCAAGCTAGAAATAAGGTTGGTCTGAAGTATCGGTGCGTCGACTACATGTACGTACGGGAGCAGGCAGCTAGTTCTTTATGGTGGGGGGACTAAAATATGACAACACAAGTAAGAGTATTTATTATTACAAGTAAGAGTATTTATTATTTCATCG